TCCTGCATGCCAGACACTGGGGATCAAGCCCCAACCTGGGTATGTGCCCTGACCTCCTGTTTCCTAGGTTGATGCTCAACCACTGAGCCATGCCAGCCAGGCATATTATAAGGAATGGAGTCTAGATAATCTTGGAGAGCAATTCCCTGACCTGCCGTTAGACAAGTGGAGATGAATCTGCTTCTGGATAGGTTGAATCTGCCCTTTGAAAAACAGCAAGGTACATGAAAATGTGCAGAAAGGTTCAAGCAGGGTTGCATCACTACCGCATTAGCCCGGGGACCAAGGCAGACAAAGATAAAACAGAAATAGAAGTGAGGATGTGGCAACACCTGCTACCGAACCACTGACAAAATGTTGAAAGCTCTTTTGAGACACAGGTATTTCTATGTGTTGAAATAGTCTAGATGTTTGACCACTCTGATGAAATTAGCTCCGTTACTCTTTCCGGGGGGTGCATATTGGTTTTGCCTGGTTAGCATACATTCTCTCTTTGGGAATAGCATCTAGATTTTCCCTGAGGGAGTCACCTCTTCCCATTCTCTCGGTCCACATTGTTGAGTGAAGCTGACTATCGTACCAGTACTTGGTTCAGAAGGGCCCAGAACCAAGTGATTTCATGCCGGGACTTTTGTCGCTTTTACTGAGATTGTTATTGTGAATAACATAAGCTAGAAATCATAAGTAGAAAGAGTAGTCCTGAAAATACTACCATCACCGTGGAAAACTGAATCAGGAAGAGATAAATACCAAGTCTTACTGACACAATTTGGCCCAGATCCAGCCATGCCTAATTCCAAAAGCTGATTTTTTAAAATTTGTAATTACCATAAAAATTAGAAGATGAACATTTTACATTGGGGTGATGTGTTAGAATTTATGGACTGCTTTGGAATCCACGTTCTCAGTTGACCACAATAGTAGGCAACATGTAAGGAAGTGGTGAAATGTTCCTATCTCTACAGTCAAGCTGCCTGGGATCAAATCTTGGTTTCCTGACTTACTAACCATGTGACCTTGAACAAGTTACTGACCCTCTCTAAATCTCAATTTCTGTATCAGATAATAGTGCCTGCCTCATAGGGATGCTTATCATGATGTTCAGTAAATTTTTAGTAATTTTTACTAGCAATCAATTAAGAGTAATTGGATGGGTCAATCATGTGATATTATTCCCATTTTACAGATGAGGAGACTGAGGTTCAGAGTGGTTGAATGAATTGCCAGTAAATTCTAGTCCTCTTAAACCAGGTCTTCTCATAGCAGGGCCAATTCTCCACTACAACATTGTACTTACGAATGTCTTGTGTATTCATTTAATAATTATTTATTGAGCACCTAAAATTGCCAGTCACTATGCTTGGTGCTAGAGAATTCTGAAATAATCCCATGGTGCTAGAGAATTCTGAAATAATCCCAATAGGACAAAACATCTTTAGGCAACCCTAAATGTATAACTAACTTGTTTCTTTCTTTCTTTCTTTCTTTCTTTCTTTCTTTCTTTTTCTCATACTTTCTTTCATCCAGCATTGACTAGTAATGAATTTACTGAATTTTTATGGAAGATAAAGATGAGCATTTACCATATTAGACTGTTAATTCCTTGAAAGGTGAGGATCATGTTTTACTTATCAATATAGAACCAGCACTTAGCACAATGCCTGGCACGTACTTGTTGAATATTTGACAAATGAGCAACATGCCGTGCAGCTAAATTTAATCTACCTTCCTCAATAGCTTCTCACCTGCCCCCAGAATGCCTCCCCAGCAGCTGCTCCAAAATTGTTGATGAAACAGAGTTGAATTGATTGTGAAGAATTCTACCTCTCATGAACTTGATGGGATTCTCCCAGGTATTCCTGTTTTCCAGGTACAAGTAGTTTCCATCTGAAACCAAGTAGAGTGATGGTTGGGTTAAGAAAAAAAAAAGTCGAAATATTGAGTCAGGGAGCCAACAGTTGAGTAAACAGTTGCAACAACAAAATGTACTCATGGAAAGATAAGAAATGATCGAAGACAGTGCATGCTGAGTGCCCAACGAAGAGCACTAGCAATAAACACCAATGGAGTTCAAAGCAATGAGAAAGAAAACAGGAAGGTGGTGATGTACCAACCTGGTTGAAAAGAATCTGTTCTAGATCTCTTTATAGACAAACTCGGAGGTGCTGTGAGTTGTTTTTATTGTTATATCTCAGAGTTTCCTCTGCATAGCAGCAGCCTGTCAACAGCTTAAGGCTTTGGGGCCAGCCTTTTTCATGAGCCCAGAGTCTGATAGGTCCCAGGAACAGCACACCTGCAGTTTTTGTGTAGAATGAGGGGGTGGAGCCTCATGTCAGGGCTCAGATTTCCTTATTTCTGGCTCCCCAGCACTCAACTTAGAGGACTAACCCACAGCTGAGGACAGGGAAAGAACTTATTCTTCACCTGTCCATGCATCACGGGTTGAAAGAAAAGATATCCACTCTAAGTAACTCCTCATTGACATAAATGTCACAATTCCTACTCCCTTACCTCATAACCTTCCTCTTGGCCCCTCTCCCCAAAATAAAAATAAATACCCCCTAGAATTTGACAATGCTTTCTTTGCAAGATTACTACCTTGCTTCTGATCTAATCCAACCTTGGAGATGGAGAATATTTTCTTAGATTTCTTATTTTTTTTAAGTGCATAAATATTTCTTTTAGAGTATGACCGTGAGACTAGGGAAATGAGATATCCTGGTAAGAAAAATCAAGTGTTGTGCCTGACATCTGCCTTAGCACAAGGTAGTCCTATTTGGCTCTATATGTTAAATCCTTAAAAGCAAAAGGAAAATGAAATCAGTAAGTGTACTCCTGCCCTAGCTGGTTTGGCTCAGTGGATAGAGCGTCAGCTTGTGGACTGAAGGGTCCTGGGTTTGATTCCGGTCACGGGCATATGCCTGGGTTGCTGGCTCGATCCCCAGTGTGGGGCATGCAGGAGGCAGCCAATCAATGATTCTCTCTCATCATTGATGCTTCTGTCTCTCTCTCCCTCTCCCTTCCTCTCTGAAATCAATAATATATATATATATATATATATATATATATATATATATGAAGAAGTGTACTCCTTACATCTTAGAGAGACATCATGGTATGTTTCATTTTCTACTGACTCAAGCTACAAGGCCTCCCTAGTGACATTTGGGTTTGACCATTCAAATGTATTTCTTTCTTTCCAGTGACAACATGAGTTTGGCAGAACATTGAGAACCGGCGGCTAAGAAAAGAAAATGCAGTCTTCCTGCTCACAGAAGAGGTTCTAAGACATCCGTGCTAACACGGCATAGCCAAAAGGGCTTGGGTATGAATCAGCCATAAGTGCTGAGTGGGCCGGTGAGGGCTACAGAGTTCATGAGAATTTCAGATGAAACCACCCACAAGAGTGCTTATCAGTTATTGTACATGTGTGGTACAGTCTATAATTTGACTTGTTTGAGTCTTTTTGTTGTTATGTGTTATGCTTCACCGAAGCCTGCTGCAAGCTCTCGTTTTCCTTTGCTATCAGAATTCCCCTGCTTCATGAATGAGCATTAAGGCTTGGTGGCAAGAACGTTAAATATTCCTTCCAACTACACAGACAGAAAGGGCTAAGAGACAGTTATATTTTATTAGCATCTGATTCCAGAAACATGATCCCAATTCTCCTAATTTCTTAATCATAGATGCTTTTGGCACTCACCATAGCCTCGTTCGATCCTCTCTGAAGTACCTAGGAACCAAATCAGAAGCAGCAGCAAGCAAAGATGAGATGAGTATGCAGTCAAGTAAAACATGTCTTCAGGCTTCCCACATCCTTCCTTCCTAGGCCCAGTCCTGTCTAGCATTGCCAGATTTAACAAAGAAATGCAGACACGGGCTCCTGTATTTTATCTGACAATCCTATTAAGGCCTTTCGTAGCTCTATTTTAGTTTTCTGCCATCAGAGCCTGAAATTAGTCATCTAAACTTACAGCAATATTTCTCAAAGATTGGTTCCAGATAATCTGCATTAGAATAACCTGGGGAACTGTGAAAAAGGCAGATTCCTGAGTCTCAACCTAGACTTACAGAATCAGAAACACCAGGGATGGGCCTGGAGATATGCGTTTAAAAATCTCCACAAATAATTCCGAGGCACACTAAAGCACGATTCTTTAATGACCTCGGTGTTTTTCCTCTCCAGGCAGTACATACTTAAAGCCTTTTTCTGCTTGTGCAAAGAAGATAATAAAAGTAGAGTATCAGTATTTATAAGCACCTTATTAAATATTTGTTTCCTTAATGCCTTCTTTTTTTTTTTTTTCCTTAATGCCTTCTTAAAGGGACTCTGAACTTCAGAAGAAAGTGGGAGCCTGCCTCTGCTCACCGTATGCACACCTGACCACCGAGGACTGACCTGTCCTAGGCGGCCACTCCAGGCCGGCAGTCAGGAGAGCCTTTGGGCAGCAGCTCCAGCAGAAACATGGCCAGAGCTTCTCCCTGTGGGACAAACAGAAGTGTGCAGTGTGCCAAGGAGCCTGCATGACCCCTTCCCTAACAACCCCTGGACTTCTTTCCCCTCTGGATCAAAGACTTAACTTAAAGGGGGAATTTCCCCACAAGATCCCTTTCAATGTCCCTAATTCTGCTCGTTGCATTTTCTAGCTTTTAGTCTGAAAGTCAACCACCAACATTAACGAACAGCTCATTGCACGTTAAGAACCTTTGGGCCAGAGGCGGGGGTAGAATCCTGCAGGTTCAGGATTGGGTTTAGAAAAACTACAAGCCCCAAAATGCAACTTCATCTTCCAAAGACTACCATTCCCAACATGCAATGCAGCCAAGGTTAGCAAAGGAAAAGAACCAAAAGCACGGTTGGAAATTTTGCATTTAGGTGACCCTTGGCAATGAAAAGATTAGAAAGGCCGCAGGGGGTATTTTCTGCAGGAGTGGTCACTCCCCAAATCCAGGCAAGGAAGGGGAGGAGTCTGAGCCGGGTCCCACCCCTTTCCCAGTAAACTTCTGTCGCTCCCACTTCGGCTGCAGGAGTTGGAAGGGCCAGGAGTCCCAGCACACCCTGCTTTCCCCATGGTTTCGGTGACCAGATCCGTGTTTGGAGAGCTGCCCTCGGGGGCAGGGACAGTGGAGAAGTTCCGGCTGCAGTCAGACCAGCTGAGAGTGGACATCCTCTCTTGGGGTTGCACCATCTCGGCCCTGGAGGTCAAAGACAGGCAGGGCAGAGCCTCAGATGTAGTGCTGGGCTTTGCCGAGTTGGAAGGTGGGTTAAACTCTGCCCCGGTTGCAGGCGGGCCTCAGGCCCACCCTGCCCGCGGCCGGGATGGGGCTGCTCCGGGAGCAGGGACCGCGGGGGAAGGGCCCGAGCTTGGGACGTGCGGGTCAGGAATGCTTGCCACCCGCTCACTCTCTGTGTTGTATCCAGTGCTCGGAAAAAGACAGAATGAACAGCGATAGGACTTGGCCTCTGGTTATCCATTCAGGCTTTGCCTCATTGATTTAAAAAGTCAGTCGAGGGTCAGATAAAACTCCAGCAACCCTGGGGCGATCTTTGAACCGCCTGGTCTTTGTCAGAGCTGAAGAGGAAAAGGCTGGCTGGAGGGGGTGTGGCTCCCAGTTCCTCCCTCTGGCCCTTTCTCAACAAGGAAAATCAAAGACGTGCGTTTTCTACTTCCCTTTTCCTGGATCAGAGTCTCTGAGGCATGGTTGTCTCAGGGGATGCAGACAGCTTATCCACTTTGGTCTGGGTGGGGTTAGTGCCCAGCAGGCTCTGGCTGCTCAAGGACCATGTACAGAATGGAACGCGGAAGACCTACTCATGGTCTAGAAATGAGGTCTTCTCCTAGCTAGGATGGACTTTTATCCTCTTGGAATCCGTAGGCAATTAAGATCGTATATTACTACATGCATTTAAAAACTGTTAATCCAGTTACCTCGTCCAATGAGACAGACGAGGTCCCCAACCTCATACAGCTTGTAGTTTAGCTGGGGACAGAGCCATTAGCCAAATAATTGCATAAATAAATAATTACAATCGCAGTTTGATGGCAATAAAGGAGAGCATACCTAGTGTTCTCTTGGTAGTAGGGGTGCAACTGGACAGGAAATGAGGTCTGAGATAAAATTGGCAAAGGGACACTGTTGAGAATTGATATCCTCTGCCCGGTGGTAAAGGTGGAAACAGTCTGCTTAGAGAGGAGGTTTGAGGTTTTCTTTTAGGCGTGTGCTTCTGTCTGGTTCTTTAGATATGTAGCATGGCTCAGAGTTGGATGTCAACAGAAAACTCTTGAGAGTATTGGGTTTCCCTTAGGAAACTGAAATTTGCTTTCCATTTCCCTATCAAAATGTATTATCAGGATATCCCTGAGGATCCTATTCCTTGCCCTCTAGTTGTCTTAATCTGTGTTGGAACTTCCACTGCTTGGTTTGGAGAGGGGGTAGGTCATCTTGGAGAGGGAGTAGGTAATCTTTGGCAGAATTTCTTTGGTAACTTCAGCAAATCTATTACAGGAGACTCCAGCGTAGGAAAGTACAGGGATGTGGGGGAAATCAGCTCCATATCCCCTTGAATTTCTGGAGGTGGGTGTTCGCATCTGTCTTCAAAGTCAGAAGGCAAGAAGCATGGTTGACAAATGACAAAAGAGGCTTCCTCATTTTGCTGAGTCACCTCTCTCTATCACTAGCATAACCATTTTCTAGGCTGAAACAAACCATAAAGAGTTTACTTGACTGGTGCAAAATTGCCCATGGAGTCAAAGAATCGGGTACTTGGCCTACAATTGCAGAACCAGTAAAGAACTGGAGACGATAAGCTAAGAGCACCTGTTTTTATCATCTCATTTCTATCTCGGCCTTATCACTATTCAGGATGTAACTACCCTCCCTCTACACACACACGCACACACCACACACACACACACACACTGTTCATATCATTTTTAGTTCTGATGTGAGTTACATGGATCTTAAAGCACAAGGTGGCTTTCTGGAATTCATATGAAGTATGTGTCATGATAACATGGCACCGGGGAAGCACTGGCATAGAAGTGCCGATTTTGTGAGGGCATTTATACAACTGTCTCCATGAGTCTATGACTCGTGGGAGTCTGAGTGAAAGAAAATATTCCCAATTGTTCTTAAAAGGGAGAAAAAAAAAACTGATCCCCTGGCTTGTATTGTATTGCCCTCCATGTAATTAACATCTCTTGGGAAAGTTAAATAGAATTTTCTTAACCAGAATGCGTCACAGTCTTCACAAAAAGCAGCGAGAGAGACATTTTCATTTCTATGCTATAATTTAAATAATTTATGTTAAAAGAAAATCAAGCTGTTTTCAAAAGAGAAATTGGAAAAAAGCCCTGAGAATATCAAGCAATACTTTCTAATATATTCAGCCATCTTCGAGGCTATGGCAGGCAGCCCCCTTGTTCCCTTTATAAGGCCCTGTCCTTCAGTGTGAGTGTGTGTGTGTGTGTGTGTGTATTCCTTTAGTATTGCCAAAAATAAGGAAGACTTCATAACAGGAAGCATAATTGTCTCAATCAGAATACAGTTATGGCTGCATAACAATATTTTGGTCAAGGTCGGACCACACTACAGTAGTATACCAACCATATATAGGTGTATAGCAGGCTATACTATCTAGGTTTGCGTAAGTGAATTCTATAATGTTTGCACAAAGGTAAAATCTCTCAGTGTGTCCCCATCGTTAAACTGCGCATCACAGAATTATGAAATGGCTCTCTGCTGCTATTTTGATCAATTCTAGTGTATTAAAACCCATGTTAAGAAATCGGCAACAGCGGTTGCCCTTAAGCAAAGACTCTGGGTAGCTGGGGTACAGGGATAGGAAGGAGACGTAATGTTCACTATATAATCTAAGAATGTCTGAGTATGTAAGTGTTAAAGAAACAAACTGAGGCAAATAACTTAAAGCAATAAGATGTGACAGAGCAAGGGGTTACCTTCATTACCGTGTCCCCTAAAATGTTTTGAGCCACTGGGAAGAGCTGAGCGTGGATAATTCCATGAGACGTGGTCCTTTTGTAACTGCCAGATTGATGTGAATGAACTATCGCCAATTTCCCAGGAAGATTATATAAACTGCTTGGATGATGGCCATGACCTGAGGTCAGAACAGTTCAATTCCTCCTTGGGTAAATGAGATCTTTCTTCTGTAGAATTTTAAAGAGGTAAATCACATGGTCTTTTAGTTACGGGCTGGGAAAATCAGTCACGCCTCCAGTGAGTTTTTCTGCCATCTTTTGTATTTAAAATATTTTTTAAATGTTTTTCATTTGCATGTCCCACCTGCAATCATTATGACTTCTTTCCAAACCTGCGATGAGAACATTTGCTTATAAGCCACAGATACAAACAACCTACCCATACAATCAGTGCAACTCCTTCCCCTCCATCTTCCCCCCAGTTACCACCAGACACCCAGCTATTACTGTCATGAGAGCCATTATGGAAAAACTAGAAAAAATAAATATAGTGTTTTTGGAAAACCTGAGTTCATAAGAGGGGTTACCCTGGAGGAAAGGGGACCAGTTTAGAGGCTGCAGTTTAATATTACAGATGCCCCAGAGTGCCCTTAAGGGAGTATTGAGGATTCCTGGTTTAAATCTGCTTTGTCCCTGAAAGCTGTGTGACCGTGGGCAAGTTGTTTAACCTCTCCAGACCTATTTCCTCTCCGAAACAAGTGGATAATGATGATTAAATGTGCTGTTGGCTGTGATAGTATCTGACTGTGGTGAACAAGTAATAATTTTTATCTTCTTTCCTTCATTTGCTCCCAAATACCTTCCCTCACAGTACTTGAACTTTTTATTTCACTTTGTTAGCGCTGAAAAAAAAAATAGCATGGAGAGTCATCTGGGACAACCAGCAGCCATTGAAAAATATATAAAATATGTGGGAAGCTTAAAGTGCTCGTCAATTAAAGTAATGTTTGTTTTCCTCAAAAAGCCAAAGGAAAGTGAATCAGGGTGAGGGTGAGGGGGCATTGACCGAGACTAATGAGCAATTTTGTTTGAGACTTTAAGGTACTCTGGCTAAGGTTTGGGCTGTATGAGGTACATACAGCCAAACAATTTTTGAACAGAAATTCTGCTTTCTTTGCATTTTTCAGCTCCTGAAAAACAAACCAATGCTCCACATTATATATCATCAGGGAAATGCAAAGTAAAACAGGACCTAATAGAATGGCCAAAGCTCAGAATACGGACAATACCAAATAGCAGCTAGGATGTGGAGCAACAGGAACTCTCATTCATTGCTGATGGGAATGCAGAATGGTACAGCCACTTTGGGAGACAGTTTAGTAGTTTCTTACAAAACTAAACATATTCTAACTATATGATCCATCAGTCATGCTCCTTGGTATTTACTCAAAGAGCTAAAATCTTACGCCCACACAAAAACCTGCACATGGGATAGCTATAGTAGCTTATTCATAATTGCTAAGATGTCCTTCAGTAGGTGAATGGATAAATAAACTGGGGTACATCCAGATCATGGGATATTATTCAGTGCTAAGAAGAAATGAGCTATCAAGCCACAGGAAAAAAAAAAAGACAGGAAGGACCCTTAAATGCATATTACTAAGTGAAAGAAGCCCATCTGAAAAGGCTACATACTGTATGATTCCAACTATATGACATTCTGGAAAAGGCAAAGCTATGGAGACAGTAAAAAAGATCAGTAGTTGCCAGGGACTAGGGGGATGGGAGGGATAGATAGGCAATGCACAGAAGATTTTTGGAGCAGTGAAAATACTCTGTATGATCTTATAATGGAGGATACATTTGTCCAAACCCATATAATATACAGCACTAAGAGTGAACACTAATGTCAGCTATGGACTTTAGGTAATGATAATGTGTCAATGTATACTCATCCTATATAATAAAAGGGTAATATGCAAATTGACCCTAACAGCAGAATGACTGGGAATGACTGGTCACTATGACACACACTGACCACCAGGGGGCAGACGCTCAATGCAGGAGCTGCCCTCTGGTGGTCAGTGCGCTCCCACAGGGGGAGCTCTACTCAGCCATAAGCCAGGCTGATGGCCGCCAGCACAGAGGTGGTGGCGGGAGCCTCCTCAGCTAAGAATGTCCAACTGCAGCTTAGGCCTGCTCCCTGCTGGCAAGTAAACATCCCCTGAGGGCTCCCGGGCTGCCAGAGGGATGTCTGACTGCCAGCTTAGGCCCGCTCCCCCCCCCCCCCCCCGAGGGGTCCCAGACTTCGAGAAGGCACAGGCCGGGCTGAGGGACCCCCCTCCCTCCCCAGTGCACAAATTTTTGTGCACTGGGCCTCTAGTCAGTTTAATAAATGTACCACTCTGGTGGGGGATGCTGATAATGGGGAAGGATATGCATGTGTGAGGGCTGGGGTTATTTAGGAATCTCTATCTTCAGCTCAATTTTTCTGAAAGTTTTCTTGATTTTTCTAAAGTGTCCCACCAGTGTGGCTCAGTGCTTGAGTGTTGACACATGCACCAAGAGGTCGCAGGTTTGATTCCCACTCAGAGCACATGCCTGGGTTTCAGACTTGATCCCCAGCAGGGTGTGTGCAGGAGGCAGCCAATCGATGTTGATGTTTCTCTCTCATCAGTGTTTCTATCCCTCTCCCGTCCTCTCTCTCTAAAATCAGTAAAAAAACATATTTTAAAAAATAAGTAAATAAAGTCTATTAAAAACAAAAACCAAGAAAAGGTTGTCTGGCCCTTGGGGACTCCTTTTGGTTACCCAGTGTTAGGGTTTTAAAGCTACAGCTTCAGGAAGAGAGGAGAGTGGGAGAAAGGTGGGAGCTGATAAGATCAGCCTGCCTGTGCTGAGAGATGGTAGTAAGGTCAACTAATCAGAAAGCCTTGGGCTTTCCAAGTCATGTGATGCATAAGAACAAGTATTTAGGAGCCAGAGTATCTGCATTCAAATCCCGATTTGGCCATAACTAGCTGTATGTTTGGGAGTAAGTTACTTCACCTTTCTGTTCTCGGTTTCCACACCTGCTAATAATAGTGTCTACCTTATGGAAGCATTCTGAGGATGAAATGAGTTAAATGTACAGCATTTAGAAAGTGGCTGAGACTTTGAAAGCGCAGTGTTAGCTGTGACGACAATCTACAGGCAGGACTCTGAGGACCTGCAGATTAGCAAGAAGTGAACCAGGAAGGACCTGGAAGAGAAGATGAATGCTTCTGTTAGGCCCAACCAGTTGAGTAATAGGAACCTGTAACTGGCCTACTCGGTTTAGGGTCCATGTCCTAAGAGCCCCTCCAGCTGTGGTAAAAACAGTGCATAGGCTTAAATTGCATGCTCTTCTGATCCACAGTAGATGTGATGGGTACACAGGACTGCAGAAGGGGGAATGGAATTCGAGGGCCTCTGAGTGAAAAATAGAGGAGAAAGCAATCTTGGTGATAATACAAAAAAACAAACTACCTCCAAACCTTAATCTCTGCCAATGTAATCTAAGCAAGAAGATTATAGCACAGAGGAACTTAAAGAGAAGGAAAGTACTGTAATATGCCCAGGCACCAAGTTGTAAGTACAGGACACTATCAATCTTTCTTTTACTCCCCGCCCCCCCAAAAAAATACTGACAACAGTTTATTCTCATCAATATGCCACATAGCCACATGGAGAGACCTTAAGACATTTGATAACTGAAAATGTAGCAAAACAGCGTGTATAATTCTCTATATATAGAATGTGTGTTTTTTAAAGTAAGTGTATATGCCTAACTGTTAGCAGTAGTTTACCAGGAAGCAGAGGAGCTGAGAGGTGGAGGAGAACTTTCATGTTTTACTCTATTGAGGTTGCCAGATTCAGGAAAGAAAAATACAGGATGCCCAATTAAATAGGAATTTCAGATAAATAACATTTTTAAATGTAAGTATGTGCCATGTATAACAATAATATGGACATACTTATACTAAAATGTTTTCATTATTTACCTGAAATTCAGATTTAACTACTGGGTGTCCTACAGTTCCTCTGGCAAGCCTACTTTATATTCTTGTGTATTATTTAACACTCTTTAAAGGACATTTTATGTACTAATTATATGATTTTTTTTTTTTTTTTTTTTAAATATTGGGTCATTTATTGTAGTGTTTCTAAACAATTTGGGTAACATTTTGTCTCCAGCTACTTAACTGCATTTGCTTGTTGTGGGGGCGGGGTTAGAGGTCCCCGATGTTCAGAATACAGTACCAGCATTTACACAAAACATTGCAGCCTGGCCCACAGAGCAGAGGTTACTAAGGGGCAAGCTGCTGCTCGTGACAACACCCCAGCGCCTCCTTCTAATCTTGTGCCATTTCCCAGGGCAGGCAGCCTTGTGTGGACTCTGACTTGT